CAGGCACACGGACCTTTTCTCCTGTCTTTACTTTTCTGCCAGCGTCCCCTCTGATATGTAGATTGTGTTCTCAGGGACCATTTCTCCTTCCTTCTGTTCTGTCTCAGTCGAGTTGAAGATGAGCACTTTCCCTGCATGCACCAAGACGGAGACATGCAGTCCTCTCTTGGCACCAGGCGGCAGATGGGCCTCTTGCAATCTGCCTCCATCCTTTAGCTAGTAAGTTAGTACTCTATCGTGTCCCTGCTCTTTCCTATCGAAAGTGTACTTCTCAAATAAAGAGAAAAGTATTTCTCTTCTGAAGGAGCGTTCTGTGCGCCTTGGTGTTTAGTCGTGCCGGCCACATGACCACGGAAACGTCTTCAGACAGCGCTGGCTCTTCGGCTTTGAAACGGAGATGAGCACCGCAACCCTAGAGTCAGATTCGACTGGCTTTCGCGCAAGGGAACCTTTACTATTTCTCTACTAAACTTGCAACGTGGCTCAGTGTAGCTTTGTAAGCTGAGTAACCTGGTAAACTGACATTCCCGCATTTGTAGCTTTATTTAAGCACTCTGCTAACTAGTGGTGACTGGACTAACCACACTGGTTAACCCCAATAAGGAAGACAAGCAGTTTGCTGTATTAAAGGTAAATGTTCGGGATCTCTTCTTGGCTAGCTGGTTCACCTGCATGGTGGCAGCTAGGCAATATGTAGCAGAGAGACTGCTGAACTACAGTTGATAATGAAGCTCAAGACAATGCATCCACCTGGACTGAATCGAGACCTAGGTTTCCTGTCTCATTACCAATGCTGATTTCTCCACGCCTATTACCCCTCTACATATTGCACATAAATCCAATCACACCTGCTATTGTTATTCACCTGCTATTGTCATTCGGCATCTGAAATCACTCCAGTTTCCAACAAACAAGGACAGACAGATGGACTCCCATTTTAGCTGTATCTGAAGAAGTGAGCAGTGACTCATGGGAGCCCCTACCCTGCCACATATTTTGTTTAAGGTGCTGCTGGACTCTTGCTCTTCTCTAAGGCAATATGTACACACACATGAATAGACATGCTCCAAAGGAGCTGTTTCAAAGGCTTGTGGCTGCAACCGAAGAAAGGCCTTGCACATGCCAGGAAGAATCAAACCCTGTGCATATTTACTCAGAAGAAAGTCCCACTTTGTTTAGCAACGTTTACTTCCCGTAGTGAATTCACAGGCAATCAGGTCTCCTGTTGCTAGCAACCATGGTGGCACAGTGGAACCTCCATGTCTGGAGGAAGTATACCTTTGAGGCTGCAGACAAAGGGAAGGCTGATGCTCTCGTGTCGTGCTCCTGGGTTTCCCAGAAGCCTCTGGCTTCCCATGGTTGGAAACAGAATGCTGGGTGGCATGGACCATTGATCGCACAGAGCTCCTCTGGTGTTCTTAAGGCAACCACGGTTTTGTGCCGCCTTCTGAAACCA